AGCTGTAATGCCACGGCACTCTACCCAGGGGGACAGCTTGAGGCTCTGTCTCAAAAAAAAAAAATAAAAATAAAACAGTGGTTCTCACCAGTGGAGGCCTTCCTAATGCCTCCTAATACTGCAACCCTTTAATACAGTTCCTCATGTTGTGGTGACTCCCAACCATAAAATTATTTTCATTGCTACTTCATAACTGTAATTTTGCTACTGTTATGAATCATAATGTAAATATCTGATATGTAGGATGTATTTTCATTGTTACAAAGGGGCTGTGACCCACAGGTTGAGAACTGCTGCTTTAAAAGGATGGTTATCTTTGCCTTTCTTGATAAAACAGAGTTCTGCTCACTTGTTCGGAGAGCCACATATTTGCATTGTGTGGAATATAGGGCTCAGCCCTATAAAGGACTGTCAGAACATACCGGGTTTCAGGATCACATCCCCATGTCCCCACTCTTCCAGACCTTGGTATCCCAAAGCTCCATTCCTCCTTGTCTGCATATGAGGTTCCCTCTACCTGGAGTGTCCCTGGAAGTAGCTATTCTTAGCTGACTAATAATAGCCACACAGAATTTTCAGAATGTAAAAGTGCTTTGAAAATGCACAATAACTAACAGGCAGCTGCCCCCTCTGTTGGGTGAATGGATGGTGATTTGAAAGAAAGAGACGTCCTTCAATATGTTGATTTTGAGCAGAAGGGGGTCTGGTTGCTTGGGGTTGGTTCCTCGGTGGCCAGCCGCTTTCCCTCACGCCCTATGGCTTGTTCCTAAAGCCTACAGAAAAGTCCGTGGGAGTAGAGTTGAGTGGAGGAACTCTAGTTGTTTTGCTCCCTCTGAATGGCCCTCTTTCATCGGGATGTTCTGGGACAAGGGCCTTTTTACGCCAAAATATCAGGGGAAGACAAGAGTTCCACAAGAAGCCATTTGCTCTTTGGGTGGGGACTGCACACCACGGCTCCTGTGAAGGGCTCACTGGCTCCTTCCCAGCCTTTTCTGCTTTCTGTTGGGACTAGATGGTGGCCCCTCTGCGGAAAGTTCAAGGGGGCATTAAAGATATGACTACGGCAGTCACGAACCTTTATTTCACCGACTTCTGCATCTTCCTTCAGCCAACTCCGTACTTCTGCCGTTCAGAGGTTTCCAGCCCAAATTAGTATGTATTACCACCCTCATTTCTATTTTCCTACCGTGTATTGGGTTTCTGGATGATACTGGCGGTTTATATTCTGAGGATTTGGGGTTTTAGGAGGAGCATTGATTGAGATTTTTGTCTCATTGTCAGTGCTTTGTAGAAACTTTAATCTTATAAAGGCTTCCCGAATAGCTGAGAATATATTTGTGTTGTGGAGATAAAAGCGTTGAGGCTGATGGTACACAGGGCAACGGCCAGATCCCTCATCAAGATTTTTCTTAACGGAATGGAGGAAGATGGTCTATTTTGTCTGGGTCTGACCTTGTGTAACTTCAGTCATTCTTTTTAGGACACTAGACTCTTTGGTGAGAAGGCTGATTTTTCTGTAGGTGGATGGTTTGTGGGTCTCATGGGTACTTAGCAAGGTGTGTGCACCCTCACCGACATGGATTCCTTGGAGAACTTCTCCAGCAGGGCACTTCGAGGTTCTCATGACTCAGGGAACTGTGCCTGTCGGCATTAGCAGCTTGGCAGAGAGAAAGAACCACATAAAACCACATAAAGCTCTGACCATCGGAAATAGCAATTGAATCAGCCACCCAGAGGGCGTGTAAGGCTCTGGGCGTGGAGTGAGCTCACAACCCAAGACGGGAAGCCAGGTCACGGAGAGTATCTGCATCATGTTTTCATAAATCCTGTGACTGACCATGCTCCGTGGCCTCCCACCTTGTCCCCCAAGAGCCATCTCCTGTGGTTTTCCTCCTGCTTTATCCCCTTACTGTATTTGCAAGAAAGACTGCAGGGTGATCTCAGAGCTTTGGGGCAGTGTGCTGCTGGGCTTCCACGTGGCTTCCAGCCTCTTCTTTATCATAAATGCCTGTTATGGTTTGTCATGGGGAACAGAGTTAGAGTGTCCTAAGGCCCCAATTACTACAGTCCCCTGACTGCATGTGTAGAGGAAGAGGCTGTGATTCTCACCCATCTGGGAACACTGAGGAGGAACCACGGCCTCGTAAGTGATCATGGGGTAAACCCAGCCTATTTTTTTTTCACATTGTTCCCTTTTTTCCAAAGGAAATGTAAGGGAAATCAAGGGGAATTTTTGGCCATGATTTCCAAGGCAAAGGTCACTGTTAATGGTTTGGCTATTTCCAGAGTGCTTGGGGGTGGGGAGGTGGTTTCTGGTAAGTACAAATTTTTTTTTTTTTTATGTAATTTAGGAACAAAAGAGAGGTTTGATGTTGACTTGAAAAGATTTCCTCAGTTGCTTCTCTGAACTTATTGTTGAATTTTCATGGGTTTTATTTTAGAGTTGTCTTGCACGGATCTTTTGGATTTTGGTGAGAAGTAGTAAGTGATCTGTGCCCCACTGTATTACAACAGACATGGTTGTAAAATTCGAAGGGAGGCTGGTGCCGGCCGTTTTCAGGGTAGAAAAGTATAAAAGTGTGAGGTTGTTCTGCACCCTGCTGAAATAAGATAGCTGGGATCTTAAATGCCAAACAGATTTGAAAGAGTGTTTTTTGAGAAAGCTTTTAGCTTTCCTGGGGTGAGACCCCAGAGAAGAGATGCTTCTCCTTTCTCTCCTTCTTTATAATCCTGGCCTTCTCAGCACTGGAAACTTGCAGCACAAATATGCAGCTATAATGGAGTGAGGAGGATGACTTGGCAGTCCATGTGTGGTAGCAGATGAAATGCGCACAGATGCCAGTGTTGGTTTTAGGAAATAAACAAAAGCCGTCGTCAGTAATTCAGAGGCCTGAGTAAGACAGGGAGAACTGAGCCTCATGATTTCATATTTGCGCAGTCACTATTTTTAGCATGAGACTTTAACCAGAACAATTAACACATTTTATGGTGGATTTGATAGGGAAGATAACAGTTTGCCCGACTTCAGGAGCTGCTGTCTTGCTAGTTGGTGTGGTGTTTTCTTAGCACCGACAGTCATATTTTGGACATAGCTGAGTTTCTCATTCCAGGATTAGAATGCGTAACTGGGGCAAAAGTGGTCTGGGGCAAAGGTGATCCTGCTTTTTTATCTTACAAAAAACATCCTTGTATTTCAGTCAGGAATTAACTTGCTTAAGCTCAGGATTCCATTAAGAGAGAGAGAAAAAAAAGGATGACTTTTTCTTAGAGATTTGTCCTGCACAACTTTTATATGTTAATTGCTGCTCCAGAGGGAATTATTTCTGTGGTTCTCTCTAATTTGGAGTGTGGCTTTCTTTCACAAAATTAATAAAATGTTCTTTTTCTTAGTATAAAGTATGGTACATGTTCTGGTACCTTGAAAATTAAATGAAAATATTGCCATTTAAAAAAGTTAGTATTTGCTCAACATAGAAAATTTGGCAACTATTAGAAAAAGAAAGATAATCACAGATCGTCCAATCTTCTCAAAAAAACTGTTAATGATTTTTGTGTCTTTTGGCTTGGCGCCCATAGCTCAGTGGTTAGGCCACCAGACACATATACACCGAGGCTGGCAGGTTTGAACCCGGCCCTGGCCTGTTAAACAACAATGACAACTGCAACAAAAAAATAGCCAGGCATTGTGGTGGGCGCTCTGTGACACCACGGCACTCTACCCAGAGTGACATAATAAGACTCTGTCTAAAAATAAAAACAAAAAATCAGTAATAATAATAATTTTCATGTCTCTTCTGAGTAGTTTGAGAATCAATGGTATTTTGAATAATTTGCAGTAATTAAAAGTTGCTACATTCTCTTTTATGTTTTATTTCTGCATAAACTGAAGGTCTTTTTGATAGCCAAATCATGAAGGTGCAGCATTTTTTAATTTTAATTTTTAAAGCTATAGATTGGCTATGAATGTTATTGCTAGTTAAAGTAATTAGCAACGGTTACATTCTAGATTCATTTTGCTGAGAAATTCATTGCGTTAGCTTGAGGTTTCCCCCAGGAATAATGGACAGGACACTCTTCACTAAGTTAAATCACAGGTCAGTAGCCACCCACTTTTGTGAGATGCAAACAGCTGGTAAATGTGTGATTTCGTCTCCCTTGTCTTCTCTTAAGAGGGATGTCAGCAAGAAGCAGTGAGGTTGTTAAAAGTCAGAGTTAGAAACAAAGATCAGTAGCAAGATTATGAAAAGTCACAAAGTGAGTCACCCTCTCCTAATCAGGGAGTTGTTCTCTATTTTTAGAAACTGTTCTATTAGAATACCCTTTGGAGTATTCCTTTTTTTTTTGAGATAGAGTCTCACTTTGTCACCCTTAGTAGACTGTTTTGGTGTCATAGCTCACAACAACCTCAAACTCCTGGGCTCGAGTGATTCTCGTCCCTCAGCCTCCCAAGTGGGTGGGACGACAGGCACCCACCACAGTGCCTGGCTATTTGTAGAGATGGAGTCTTGCTCTTGCTCAGGCCGAGACAATCTACCTGCCTCAGCCTCCCAGAGTACTAGAATTACAGGTGTGATTGCCCAGCCTCCTTTCAAGTATTCCATAGGAGGGGGCCTGTGGCCCTGAGAGAGCCCTTGTAGAACTTTGAGTGTTGTAGTAGGAACATTCTTGTGTCATGCTCTCCAGCAACAAGCTTTTTGCATAGGCAAGATTTGGGAAGAGTCCTCTGTGCAATTCTTAATAAGGGCAAGTTTATCCCATTTGCACTTCACATGCCATTTATCTCCCTAACATTTTCTCTTCCGATAGCACTTCTTTGCCCGTTCTTATCTCTGAACTGTAACTTAACTGTGCTTTGGTTTTATTCTTCCCAGCCTAAGTGAGAGCTTTTTCATGGTGAAAGGAGCCGCCCTCTTCTTACAACAGGGAAACAGCCCTCAAGGCCAGCGGAGTCTTCAGCACCCCCACAAACATGCAGGTGAGGGCTCTAACTTGGTGCTCTGACATGGGAACTCCTTTTCTGTACAATGGGGGAACCTTCCTCTGTTGATGGTGAGCAATTTGCTGGGTTTTAAAGCCAGAGAAATAATGGAACACAGGTTTATGATGACCAGTGCAGGTTGGCACCTTCGGTGCTCTTTCCCTGAGCAGGCTATGCATCTTTTCCAGGTAGCACTGAGAGCAGGTGAGCTTTTTAAACCATGTGTGTCTGTGTGAAAACTAAGGTGGTCAGCAGTGTCCTGTTGAGATGTAAAGTCTCCCTGTACACACTTTATCACATAGCTGCAGATTTCTTTTTTTCTTTTGAGACAGTCTCACTCTGTTGCCCAGGCTAGAGTGCTGTGGCCTCAGTCTAGCTCACAGCAACCTCTTTTTTTTTTTTTTTTTGAGACAGAGCCTCAAGCTATCCCCCCTGGGTAGAGTGCCATGGCATCACAGCTCACAGCAACCTCCAACTCCTGGGC